TTTTAATTTTTAGAGGTTTGGTTGATCATTAATCTCTCATTTATCTTTATATGTATATATATATATATCTATATCTATATCTATATATACATATACATATGAAGTAATGTTTTATAAAAAAAAAAAATTGTATTTCATAGTTTAAATTGTAAAATATTTGTTTTAATTTTTTATCATATATATTTTTTAAGGGAATGTGACTAACCCGAAATTGGATCATGTGATTGCCAAATTTAACTTTTTTAAGGTAAGAACATTGACATGTCTATAATGTCATACTAGGTTAATATACATTGCGGTCACTCATCGTCACATTCCTTTTATTCAACAAATCTGAAGGTTACACTTAGGTAGGAATTCGATGTATACTGATGTAACCCTTTTCTCATTTCATTTTCCTATAATAATATCTATTTGTTATTAGTGATTAAGAATTTTTCAATCTTTATGTTAGACTTTTTAAATTTAAATTTTGTTTTTTATGAAGAGATTTAATTAAAACTATGATAGTTATTCCTTACTGTATATCAATCTACTATCAAACATATCAAAATCTTGCAATTTCTACAAGAAGATTTAAAAACATAAAAGTTATTTTTTATTATATATATTAATCCATTATTATTTTTTGTTATCTTGGTTGCAAAATAAGAAACAAATATCTTTAATTTCTTATCTTACTTTACCCGCACGTCATTCGACTCGAAGTCAATATCTCTTACTTCTAACGAAAAGAAATGACAACTAAATTATTTAAATTGTTGACATTAATCCATTATTAAATGGATCAAAAAGTTGTCACCTGGGTACTAGCTAAGTTTGACACCTGCAGTGAATCCCTCCTCCTTTATAATGTATAATAGTAGTACAATTGTAAAATTGTCATCTTTCAAAAGAAAAAAAAAAAAAACCCTAAAGAAGTTATTAATCTTTAGCAATTGTGTCTTACCTTTACCTTTAATTGTTAATAATATGGTTATTTAATTTCGATTCATAAAAAAAACTTCTTTGCACTGTGTATGTTACCCAATATTCTAAATAACAGAAACAAATAATAAACACATTAGTTTCCAACAAATCAAGAAAAACATAAACAAAAGTCCCTAAAAGTAGAAATAAATTCAGAACTTTAAGTTATGAAACCTTAACTTTCACTACTATGGAAACCATATTATTTAGTTAAAAAAAAAAGAAAAGAAAATCAGTTCTTTTTATTCAATCAAATTAAAATATTAGAGTTAAGTCTCAAAGTCATTGGAAAAAATTGAATGTTTTTACGTAAACTATTTGGACCATGATTGGTGCACACCCGGATCCCACACCTGGGTGTGCA